ACCGACTAGCGGGATATTCACCTTTAACTCCCCCCCACACACACACTGAGTTTAGGATACGACACAATGTCAATTATTTAATGTGGGAAACCCGAGCGTTTCTACGCGAGTCATAGTCAAAATTTACCCAGCTCCCGTTTACACTGGTTCGGGCACAATCTTTGTCTTAGCTGGTCATTGCTGATGTTTGCTGAAGGTGACCTGTCTTGAACTCCCCGACATTTAACTTCGGGTTTTGATTTCTGTTGAAAGAATATTCTTCGATTACTTATAGTTTATGAATGTTATATATGTGGGTAGATGAAGTTCTTCCTTAAGCCATTTCTTTAAATGTACTTGTGTAACCCCCTAGTCAACGGTAACCAATAATGTCACCTGACAAGTCGGTCCTTAAGTTCCTTCAGACCACCGTGGTTACCATTTAGCTGACTATTCATTCGTTAGCGCGTTGTCGCTGGCATCGTGATGGTATGCACGGTTCCACTCGACCTAGTTGGCGTTTGTTTGTCCATGACTGTTCACTTCTCTGCCTCATTATCGCAGAGCGTAAGAAGATCGTTGATGAAGCAAACTGAAGTGAAGCCGTTTCAACAGCTGGAGCTACACAAAAATAACTAGAATCTTTTGGAATAAAGAATTAACTCGGGTTAAAAATGTAACAATGATTTGGTTTATATATAATTTGTTGTATAGTGCGGTTTAAACCCTTCACGCTTGTTATAATCAAATGACACTGAGATCTCCTCTGAAGTCTGTAGCTTTTCAGGGTCGGTACAAGGTCTTGGTCAAGAGATCTCGACGAACGGTGTGGATTTCAGTAGCAATGGTGTAAGGACTCTCTAAGTTGTCCAACTCTCTAGCTAATATGAGTCCGGCAGGGGTGGTGTTGGCTAGGGTCTAGGTTCAGTTGTCTTCTGTCCTAAGCATCAACCTTTTCTGAATTTCCATATATAAAAATACATTTACTCAAGTGTTTTTCCAAATGTGGGATAGTCTTTTGGGAGTGGTCGGGGAAATCAAGTCGCCCCTAAACTCCAACTTGCTTCAGGCCTCACCTAGCTCCATATAGGCAGTGCTAATCTCTGTTTTCCTTCTTTTACTTCTCCCACTTTCTCAACAGCTAACCTCAGCCCGCTCCTAAGGATGATGTGACGAATCCAAAAGGGATTTTCAGTCATTAATCTTTCTTTATCAGCTTCTCATGCTGTGATTTCTCAATCGACCAGACCACTCAAGAATTGGGAGAAAAAAGGAAAGAAAATTATTTCCACTCTCCTTAAAAACAAAAGTTTATCTTTTCTCTGGCTATGCATTTTACGATCAACAGACTACACAAGCCTTTTTGTCCATGGTCACCTCAAAATAATAGTTAATTTTTCCTTGTCACTTGTATCCAAAGGAATCCGAATTAATGTTTGGATATAAAATTTTCCTCTGAACGAATGTCACAGAAATTATAATGACGTCTCTATCTCTGTGGGGACACTTCTTTGCCGGGTTGCCGATTCAAAACAGTTTTTCGTAGCACTTTTGTCCAGAGGAACTATAAATGTTATTCTGGCGACCACTTTCATCTCTTTATCGACATGTTTTTATTTTTTTCTGGCATCTTCGTGGATATCTTAATAGTGTCTTTCTCATCGACGGGAAGTGGAGGCGGACAGGTAGCCTTGGTTTTGCACAATCTTACTGAATTCCATCTAGTTAAATTTGGGTTCGGTTCTCCGTGAAATTATTTCAAAACATGATTTTGCAACGCATTTCATTTTTAATTTTCTTATCAACTTGTCAATCCCTCTTCGTACGAATTTCAACAGTTACCATCCAATTAGTAAACTCTTTCCTTTTCTTTCTTTTTTCCTTTCTCCTTTTGATTGATCAACCTCCGGAGTGCCACACTTGCGTAATCATTAATTTTTTTTTAATTAATCCTGCCTGTTCAAATATAGATATATTATGGTCACAGGCAAGACTAAAAATCTGTTTTAAGCTGTAGCCATTGTAAAAGCCTAAGTACGTGTGCACAAAATATATTATTCAGTTTCATGTATTAAATCTTAACAATTGTTGTTTTTGTGTGTAGGTAAACCCAAAGACGTTCGCGGTGGAATTTGTACGACTTGGCTTAGAGACTGCAAGAAAACAACTATGATACCTTGTTTTATAAAAAGGTTTGTTGCTGCTTACATTATTTGCTATTCTTAAGGGGACACTCTTGGAGACATTTAATCTTTTGGTGATACGATAGTTACATGCTTAACTGTGCCTCTTACCCTCTACATCAAGTGGCTCCCAGGAGTTATAGAAGGTGAACCTCATTGCTTATTTCGCAAAAATGCTCCTTGAAAAAAATACATGAACCCATCTCCCAACAGCTATGAGCGATAGCAGAGCAGATTGGGCGCGCTTTTGTCCTGGATGGTAACCAGTCTAAGAGAAGAACAACGCTAGATTCAAGGACTAGCCAGAAGAGAGATGAGCTATGGCTATTGTACACGCGGTGGCCCCAATACGCAAAGGGATTCTTTATGTGCTCAGCCTCTTCAAGGAAAAAATGGTTAAGAGTTTCCCATTTCAAACTTGGCCCATTTTAGGAGGTTCACATGTAAATTATAATGATGTATAGGTTAACAAATGCATTTGGACTGATTGGCAAAGTTTAACAAAGGCATCCTACGAAATAAAAACAGGGCGTTTTTACTCTTGACAATGCTATGACTGCTTCACTACTCGGTAATTTTTTTTATTGTTTTAAAAATCTATTTTTAGAATTTTAATTCAACGCTGACATATGAAACTGCAATTATACATTTACTATTTTCTAGAGAACTGACAGCAAAAATGTTAAAAACTATTTATTAGAATAATTCTATATTTACAAGATTATAAAAAATATATTAACCAACTAAAAATCAATATTTGTTATTTATCATATAAAGAAATAACTATTAAAAGAATTTATAAATAAATAGTGTTCAACATTTTTCCTGTCAGTTCATGAAAAAATATATGGATGCAATTTCATATGTTTGGGTTTTATTAAAATTCTAAAATTAGCTTTTTATAATAATAGAAACTACCAACGGTGTATACTGCAACCGCGTTGTCAAGAAGAAAAATCGTCATTTTGATACACTGTTTTGCGTGTTTTCTTCTTCTGTGTGCCTTCACGATGTAGACGATCACGGCTCTCCAAAACTTCCTGCCCCCTTTTTATAACTATCAATAAATTTTGTCAGGTATCATGTAACAGTTTAGTACTGTTTTTTTTTTTTTGTTGTTTCTAACGAAGTTTTTATGTTTCTTATACGGGACTCTTAATCGTTATTGTGTCAATATTCTGGGACAAAATCAAAAGAAGACGGGACATAGAAGATTTTAATATTGCTTTTGTTCATTCAGGCGGCAGGATGTATGGGTGGTGTAGTCGATAGTGGCTCGCAATGAAAAATCGGAGAGCCAAGTTCGAATTCCAGTCTAGCTACATTCACTTACGCGCAGGTACCCTTGAGAAAAATATCAGTCCGTGTTTGTACTCTCCTATGGGTTAAATAGTAAAACTTGCATCTAGAAAAATCCTTATCTCTCCTCAAAAAAAAATTGTCATGCAATATTCATTCGAAAAATAAAATAATTATTCTTACAATCCAAAATATGTTTCAGGTTTAACTTAACCCACAAGGGGTTGATAAGCCATAAAAAACAAATAAATCCTTCAAAATGTGGGAAAGCATGGTTCTTCACAACTCTTCGATGTTTGTCTTTTTACTATCCCTCCTCTTCCTGTTCTAGCTACATTCACTTATGCGCAAATATCCTAGAAAAAAAAGTATCAATCCATCTTTACCACTCCTATGGGTTAAATAGTAAATCTTGTATCTGTAAAATATGTGTGTATGCAATTTTATTCCCTCGTTTCATTCTTTTAAGATTGTCAATTTTTATTTTCAGTGCTCCAGGTTTTCATCTTCCTGCTGATCCCAGTGTTCCTGTGATTATGGTAGCCACAGGGACTGGAATAGCCCCTATACGAGGATTCTGGCAACAAAGACGTTTAGACTTGGGAAAAATAGGTAAGTAATACATACGAGTTGTGTCAGAAAAATAAGAAGACAGTGTGCTATGTGATTTTTGAGTGTAGCAGGGATTAGTGTCACACGTGACAGTTTGACGTCATATCCAGGAAGTTTATAACTATGATTTCAGTTCTCTGCGACCATTGTATATTTTTATCATGTGCTTTTATTAACAGTTTAATTTTAGGCTGTCAAGCAATGGGCACAGAGCAACGAACCAACCGGAAACTTCTGCTCCAGCTGGGGAAAAACTCCGTTAGAAAGACTACTGTAGCAAGTGTACGGCAATGAGACGATATCGCGCTCTAAGGTTTTCGAGTGATACAAGATGTTTTAAAGAGAAACACGGGAACCTGGAAGACGACTCCAGGAGCGGAAGGCCTTCAGCTGTTAATTAAAGTACATTAAAAAAAATATGCAATGGCTGCAGAGAACTGAAATGGCAGTTATATACATTCCGGATAGGCACCTCGACGTGGTGTAATGGTTAGCAAGCTGGTCTCGCTAAAACAATTACCACTGAGAAGTGAGGTCGATTCTCACTGGGTGTTCCATAATTTCGGCCTTGTGCCACGTCTAAGCTATGCTTAGAAAATCAATTTATATTTTCCGGATATTACGTCACTCGGTGAGGTCAACCGCTAATCCTTACTTCACTCATGGCTCACACAGTTCTTTTACTTTTCTGACACACCTCGTATATCTACACCTATTTTTACCACAGAAATAAGTAAACCAACTAAAAAAAATCGGATATATTTTTTAAAAAATTCAGATATAAATAATTTAGATCTGTAAAAGGATAATATGAATACCTACAAAAGCAAAACTTACCTTAACCGACGCGTTCCGCCCTCTGATGGACTTTACGAAGGCAAATGCAACAGAATGAAATCTATAATAATTATAGGATTCTATTTAAGACCACTAAGAATCTACAGACCGCGATATTTACCCGAAGAAGAAATATAGACAGAAAACACTTTCAAAAACATCCAATACTCATATTATTTCATCTACAATGCTAAAAGAAAGGCATAAAAAATATACAACTGCAAAAAAAATTAACATTATTAACAATAACAATGACATTAAACCAAATAAAACCAGATACATAATACTACCTACCAATTCCATAATATTCACTATCCAAAATAATTTATCCAATCTAAACAACATCAAAATAATTACAACATTCAAAACTATTATAGATATGATCAGAACCAAAAATACCCATAACAATAATAATTTTAAAGTATATATATATATATATATATATATATATAGTGATTTTATAAGCCTGGCTTAGATGTGGCCCAAGGCCGAAAGTATGGGGCACCCAGTAATTGATCTAGCAAGACAAGCTTTCTAACCAGTACACCACGTCGAGGTGCCCAAGCAGGTATATATATATATATATATATATATATATATATATATATATATATATATATATATATATATATATATAACCAAAACTGCTGCTCACAATACATTCACGAAACTTGCAGAAAAAAAAAAAAAAACTATCTATGAACAAAAAAGGATCTTATACACAACAATTTATCAAATGCATTAGTTAAATAGAAAAAAATTCACCCACAACTGTGATCTAAAGAATGTCGCACTTATTAAAAGAGAAAGTAACTTAGAAGGAAAATTCTCCAGAGTGACGCTATCAAATCTTCTTAAAATATAAATCTGCGCCCCTGATTTTTCAACTATCTCCATTACTGAAAGATTTTCTACTTTCCTAAGTTAACATAAATGACTATAAAAATGTTAAAATGTTAAAAGAAAACTGTTCATAATAACACATAAATTAATATCAAACAATTTGCATTTAAAAATAATAATTTACTCACTTTCGTTTACGAGACATTAAATTGTGTGTAAAACAGGATATAGAATCCCGACAAAGTTTCTAAGAAATTTGACAAATGGAATTCATTTCATGAAACTAGATTTGATTACGCCTTTCGCTTTTCTAGGTCAGATCCACCAATGAGTGAAAGAAATGTGTAGTATGTGTATTTGTGTGCATGCTTTCTCGTAATTAAATAAGAATGAAAATGAGTGATTTAAAAAAAACAGATAATATTTATTCTGTATATTTTCTTCATAATTATTAGTACATATCGAAAGTTATATTTTCCCAGCTTTATATATGCATGTGTGTGTGTCTGTCTGTGTGTGTCTATTATATATTCGATATATTTTTATATAATGTATTCATTTTACAGATATGACCCAAATGATGAATGGCTGTAAAAATAACAGAAAAGAAAAATACGTTTTTGCGCTTTATTTTGGATGCCGGAACAATGACGTCGACAATATTTACCGCGATGAATTAAAAGACGCGTTAAGAGATTCAGTTTTGTCTCACTTGAATTTCGCTTTTTCAAGGCAGCCAGGAATGAAAAAGGTAAGGCATGATGTCAGGAAAAGAATCATGGTATTGTTCGTAGTTATCAAAGAATACTAACTTCAAGAACTGAATTAAGTGTAATTATTAAGAATAGAAAAAAATTGTTAGAATAAAAATAAAAGTGTATTTGATTTTTATGTAATATACTGGGGCTGTTGACCTGTGTCTACCAGGGACACTTTTACGACGTATGAGGGTCAGGCATCAATAGTGGTGAAGGTTTTTGTGCAGAACCAACTTTTTGAAGAGGCGAATACAGAGACCACCACAGGTTTTGAATTCAGATTTGTCCTTTTCCTAGACCAGTTGCCATCCAAAGCTATAGAGGTCAGTCTGTCATGCTGTTTACCCATAGCTGGGGAGGAGGAGAAGAGGATTAATACGATTCGTAAGTGAATGGAATTCGAACTCGGCTGTCAGATTCCTCAATCCAAGTCGATATCCATTACTCCACCGTGCCTCCTGATTGATCGATAAAAATGATGTATAAACATAAAAATGTCTTAAAATAATTGTCAGACTTTGTCCATTTCATTATATATATATATATATATATATATATATATATATATATATATATATGAAAATTGGAGACAGGCTGTTTCATACTAGCGGCATGACGATTGTGTCTAGCATGAAACAGCCTGTCGCCTCTGAGTGTTGACTCCAATGTTCACTTTTATATTTATATTTCCATACGCTCTATTTCTGATATTGAGCACTTTATCCCATAAATATAGCACACCTTAAAACTATATTTCTTCATATATATATATATATATATATATATATATATATATATATGAGATAACGGTATATATTTTGTATATGAAGAACAACATCGATGAAAAATGTATCGCAAAGTCGAAAAAGTTTTCTTGCGATGCGTTTCATCTTTTAGGGCTTCATCGGGCTAAAATTGTTATATTGGTGCGACTAACACTACCCACGATATGAATATTCTGCCATAGTTAAACGGAACACTTTTCAGTTAACTCACTACCACGCACGTTAAATGTTGAAGACTAGCCACAAAATTACACGAATGATAAATGTAACCTAATCTACATGGCAACACAGCACCATCTAGCGTAAACTGTCTTTTAAAATATATATATATATATATATATATATATATATATATATAGATAGATAGATAGATAGATAGATAGATAGATAGATAGATAATATTAGTAGAAAATATACATACATATGCAAAATATATAAATATAAATACCCATATATGTATATTTTTAGAAAAAAAAATATTCCAAGAGGAAGAATCCAGGTAGAACTCAATGTCTAGAACAGAGTAAGGATATAATCAAAAGGCTTAAACACTAATATTCCATGGTCATAATTTATTCCATTGGAATCGTAAATACGATCCAATTCATCAGACCTACAAATTCAAAAGGAAAACAGAAAAAAAAACAACTCCGGAATTAAAAACAGAATTTAGAGAGAGTGTAAGTATGAGGAGGAGGGAGATTAAACCTTAACAGAGAGAATATTAGGAGAGATGGGTGGAAGGGGTTTAATTAAGAAAAAAAAAATGAATGTTGACGGATGTCTAATGCATAAAGATACATTTCGTGGTGACATACACACACCATAGACAATTTAATGTTAGAATAAGAGGGAGGGAAAGACGAGGTGGAGGAGAGAGATGGGACGAAGTAAAGGAAAATTGCGTTTACTTAAAGGGCCGATTTGTAATTGAGAAAATTTGACAAATTTAATATCGACTACAGGTTACAAATCAAATATAAATATAAATATAACGATTATCTATTTTTATGTTCAAAAACACATGCGAATATACACAATAACATATACATACACATAGGCGTGTACCCACATACACACATACATATACCCATGTACACACATATAAAAATATAAAAATATATTCACATATCCACACATACACATATATATACTTATACACACATACATGCATACACATATACACATATACATATATATATATACACATGCATACATATATACACACACCCTTACATATACACACATACACAAACACACATATATATATATACACACACATATACATACATACATACACACACACACACACACACACATATATATATATACACACACATATACATACATACATACACACACACACACACACATATATATATATATATATATATATATATATATATATATATAAACCAAAAAAATATAAAAATATACATAAAATATATACACACACATACATGCATATATACACACATACATCCATCCGCATCCAGTCCTTCATATATATACACACATTTACCCACATATATACATACGGACATACGCATACATGAACATAAACATATATACCTAAAACCTTATATTTCTATATAATTATTTAAACAAATAGACAATGTATCCCTATATCTATCCGTCTAATTATATATACACATATATATCTACATACATATACACCCATATACAAATATATATGAGTACATACATACCAAAACATACACACACATATATATACACACATCTACATATACGTCCATCTACATATATGTCCATCCATCTACACATACATACATCCATATACGTATACATAAATATACATACAGTGTAACCCGGATATAAGAGAGTTGTCGGGACCGGAGAAGAAGTCTCTTATATCCGGGTTTCTCTTATATCCGGGTTTGGTCTATTTTGTTTAGGTAAGTATGGGACACTTTGGGACCAGAGAAAATCTCTCTTATAACCGGGTTTCTCTTATATCCGGGTCTCTTATATCCGGGTTACACTGTATATACACATACATGTACATCCATACGTACACATACATATACCTATATACACACCCCTACATATGTACACATATATACACACATACACACACAGCTAAGTATACACACATACACATATATATCCACATACACACACACATATATATATATATATATACACATACATACACATATACATATATACATATATATATACACACATACACATACATATACATACACATGTATATATACACATACATATATACATATACACATATGCACACATACACACACATATACATATACACATACATAAACACCTCCATACATACACATATATACACATACATACATATATATATGCACATACATACATATACATACATATACATACACACACACACACACACATATATATATATATATATATATATATATATATATATAAAATTAAAATTTAAAATTTAAAATCTAAATAAGTAACATTTCAAACATTTGGGCGTGTAAAAAAAATATATATATATATAAAAATACATAGCGCATCGCATAAACGTACACAATGATACATATATATAAAACTAGAGCCATTATATTCAATAAATTGAAAAGAAGTTCAAATTCTAAGAAAACAATGCTCATATCTTGATATTTGCTTACAGCAAAATAAAACTCGACTTACGTGTTATGACCTATAATATTCAGGAATATTTCTGGGTCTCAAGTTGAAGTTTGCGCTAACTTAAAAAAAAACACCTGTTTAGAAAAGTGTGGATCCTGTTGAAAATGAATCATGTACTGACATAAAATTTATCGAAAAATCTTGGTTGATATCTGGAATCATTTTTGTTGTTTCGAGAAAAGTTTAAGACGATAATTACCCGAAAAAATTTATCAGCAATTTACAAATAGATAACTCGTTTCAAAGAAGAAAGGCACGGAGACGAACGGATTATCAGACCATCAACGTCAGTTTCTGAAGGGAAAAAATTGATTATGTTCAAGTTTTAATTGGAGGCTACCCACGATTATGAGCAGAAATAATCGCTCACACCCTAGGCATCTCATCTGCTTCAACCCACATAATTTTATTTGAAAAATTTAAGTTGAAACAAATTTTACTCATTAAGTTCCAAAGTGGGTTCTAGCGTTGAGTCGTACGCATAGCCGCACGGAACTACGGTATCCGCTATTGTATTATTAATTCATGTTCCTCGTGTGATTAAACGTCTCCTCACTAATCTTTTGTTGCAGTGTTTCCCTTAAGATATTATTAACCAGAACTATGAGCTTATACGAGCATTATTTTATTCGGTCGAGCTAGATCGGACATTGATTAGTTTATCACACCAACTATCAAGGTCAGAAGGTCATTTGGGTGGCATTCTCCGTCATGACATAGATGGTCAATGTAAGTGGTTGAAAAATTAAAGTTGAAAAATCTTTACTCTTTAGGTTCAAAAACTGTTGCACTCAAATCAGCAACAGACAAGAACAGATTTTTTTAATGTCCCCTCGGGGAGGCCCTGTGCCTTGGGTGGCTATTGGGCTTTAAATTCACCCCAAACCATCGGTGGAAATCGTACATACGCTCCATCGTTAAGGATACAAAGAAAATGGTCAGTTCCGGGTACCGATCCAGTAAATACCCGACTCATCGTGCTACTATCTACTTTTACAAGAGCTAGATCAGATATCTTCTGTTATCCTAAAATAAAATAAACATAATACGTCATTAGCAAATAGGGGAGATTAGGCTGTGTGACCAATAAATAGTAGTTACAACATCCTTTTACGCATTTCAATGATAAATTGAATTCCAGTCTAGCTACATTCACTTACGCGCAGATAGCCTTGAGAAAAGTATGAGTCCGTGTTTGTCCTCTCCTATGGGTTAAATAGTAAGGCTTGTATCTGGAAAAAACCTTATCTCTCCGCATACTTTAATTTTATATTATAGAATAGATTTGACCACATAAGTGTCGTATTTGTTTATGCTTTTGTAATATATACAAGAGACACTAAAAGAATGGTCTGTGTCCTGAATCGTTCCATTAAGAACCTGACCATCCTTCTATGCTTTATCTTTACAAACACCAGATGAGGCTTAAAATGGAGTACTGTTGCCATATTTAGGCCGGAGCTGTCCAGTCCTCACTTTCCAGTTTCGATAGAGTTCGAAAGCGTCGCTGCGTCCTTTTAAGTGTCAAGTAATTTTTGCATTTCTGCAGCCCCACCCTCACAGACGGAATGTAGCACGTCCCTCATTGCCCTATCACTAATTCCACGGAAAGTGATCGAACGAACTGCATTCCTTAGTTCTACCAGTTCTAACCTTCACGGCTTGGACCCGCCATGCCACGCACATTGTGGCAAACCAAAGTCATTCAATCCGTGTTCCTTTGATGAGAAGTAAGTTCCTCTCAAACACTTTACAGGAATGTGTTGGTATTGATGAAACCCATGTGAAGAAACAAAAATTGTACTTAAGAGATTTTTTACATTTAATTCAATTTTTCTACTAACTTTTTGAATAACTTCCTTCTATAACAGGAGTTCTCAATCTTTTTTACCCAAGGCATCATTTCCATGATAATTCAGAATGACATTCCCTACCCCTTTGCAAAACTGTCCGACTCAAAAGGTGAATTCCAAATAATATGGATATGATTACTGAAAATCTTCATTCTTTTTTTTTATATTAGTACATATAATTTTACAGTGATTATTTCTATAGTAGAGTTTTACAAATAGACAATAATAATTGATTTTAAATATGAATACATCTACAATGTATAGCTGGCCACTCGTATTCGAGGATACCCGTCTACTAGAGCGGCTAGCCAATCCCTATTGCAGACGCTTGCTCAGGTGCATTTGTGTTTATTCAACACCCACAGAACTCACCTATGGCTTATACTGCAACTATGCTGAGCAGATCTTAGTTGTAGTTTCTGGAAAAGAGCGTGTTATCTAGCGTGACCAATAATTTGAACAAAGCCAGCACGCTCAAGCCCTCGGCCACGATGACTTGTGCTAACATGGCTATCGACGGCCTCCAAGGGTTCTGTCTACCCAATTTCACTCACGAGGCTTGGGTATGGTTTTCAGGCACTATCTAAAGGTGCCGCACGCTGGGATCGCCCCCCTCCAGACACACTAGGAAGTCTTCTTCCTGGCAAATGGTGAGAATCGAACTTGGATCTCATGGTCAGAATGCAAACGTTCTAACCATTCGGCCACAATGTACATTAATTTGTTTTAATTTATAACATATCTGGTCTGGTGCGAGAAATCCAAAGAAACATCTGTAAGGTAATCGATCCTGACCAAGCATCTCGACTTCAGTCACTTTCTCACCGACGTGACGTGGCTTCCCTCTGTTTTTTCTACAAATATTTTCGTGATGATTACATTGATGAGCTTTTTTCCCTGGTACCCAACTACATGAACTTAAGGGTGCTACAAGATTGGCATCTAGGTCTCACCACTTTACTGTTGAACTAGTTAGATACAAAAACTCCAGCAGTTTCTTTTCTCGCAATTCTTACTTGTGGAACCCCCTTCTGATTTCTTGTTCCCTGGTTAGTACAATCTTCAAAAATTTAAATGCAACGTCAATCACCATCTTCTTGAACCCTATTCCTTTTTAGTCCTTTTCCTCAATCCTCCCTAATCCTAGTCTTCTCGTTCTTTTTCACTTTCGCTACCTGTAACCCCCTGCCTTCTAGAAGCATTATTGCCTTGCTTCTATTGCTTCGGTTTGGTTTGTTTTACAGCATATCGACACTTCAATGGGTTATTTAATACCGACAAGATTTTTATGACTGGTATTTTTTTTTCAAAAATGTATTGCTGGTAATAATGTTTTGCAGACAATAATATTTTTTTCAAAAATATATTGCTTGTAAATTTTTTTTTCAAAAATGTATTCTTGATAATATTTTTTTCAAAAATGTATCGCTGGTAATTTTTTTTTTTTCAAAAATGTATTCTTGTTAATATTTTTTTCAAAAATGTATCGCTGGTAAATTTTTTTTTCAAAAATGTATTCTTGATAATATTTTTTTCAAAAATGTATTGCTGGTAATATTTTTTTTCAAAAATGTATAGCTAGTAATAATGTATTGCAGGCAATATTCACTCACAAAGAATTATTCTTACAAAAAATATTTCCTAAAAATATTTCATTTTTTAATAACCCACAGTGTTGATAAGCCATAAAAAATAAATAAATGTTTTTAATATTACACACTTTCTTTTTAATATTAATTGCATGACTTCATTTTATTCACAGACATATGTCCAACATTTGCTTCTCCGGGACAGTGAATTTATCTATTCTGTGCTGACTGCGCAAAAAGGACACATCTACATTTGTGGTGACAGCAATATGGCTGCAGATGTCCGTCACACTCTAGAAAAGATCTACGCTCAATGTAAAGATGCAGACAATAGAGAAAGTTCACAGTTTGTTCAGCAACTCCAGGTCAGTATTTGGTATACAATTCTTTCTTGTTTTCTTTTGCATATCAGTCCCATGAATATATATATATATATATTACACAGCAAAAAATTCAAAATTACCTCATGAGTGTATAGTCTATTTCAAACCGGCACAACCCGTTTGAAATAGACTATACCCATATGAGGTCATTTTGGATTTTGTTGCTGTATAATATATGTTCTATTATAATAAATACATTGAGCTCTCTTTGTGGATCAGTATTAATATTACAATGGGTCACCTGGATTATACACCAACGTATCTGCTACTTGTACTATATATATATATATATATATATATATATATATATATATATGGTTTCTACCAGAAATCACCCAACAATAACCATCTAATAAATTTTTATTCTCATGATAACAACGAAAAAAATCCAGTATAATCATCGGTATCTACTTAAGAGCACTCAGGATTTTCAGCCCTCAATATTTACATGAAGAGGAGAAATACACTGAAAACACTTTCAAGCTTTTTTAGTTCCTTAATTATTTTATATTCAATGCGAAACAAAAGATTGGTAAAATATTCCAAATATAGAAAACAGTCACTCCTAACAAACGCAATGAATAAAAAAAAGAGTATTGTACAACCAATTCTATTACAACTGCAATTGAAAAGAGCTTATCTCAACTTGACATAAAATTTGTTACTACAACATCTAAAACAATAAAAGATTCGGTCAATACTAAACAAAACAATAAGCTAAAACATAAAGGAGGAATTTACTAAATCGCCTGTAATAATTGTCACAAAAATATATAGGAGAAACCTCAAGAAATCCAAATAAAAGATTATATGAACACCAAAGAGACATTTTACAAAACAATACATCAAATACATTAACTGCTCACTGTAACGAAACTGACCCCATTTTTAATATAAACAAATTCTATTCAGATCAAAGGAGAAACAATTGACTAAGACGAAAATGCTTAGATAGTGCCTTGATCGCAAGGTCATCCGCAGTAAATTTGCGCCTGGGTCTTTCAACATTTCACCACTCCTAGCAGATATTATGTTATCATAGTGTGGTATATTTAATAACAAAAGTAATGAAAACAAAAAGAAGAATCAATGTGTCTTTATATATATATATATATATATATATATATATATATATATATATATATATATATATGAAATCAGATACAGATATGGATCGGAATCCGACGAAATGATAAGATAATAAATAGGGAACGTTTATCAATCTAACGTGTTTCACTTTTAATTCTGAATGAAACATGTTAGATTGATAAACGTTTCCTATTTGTTTTTTATCGTATCATATCTCTATCTATAAAAGGCAGGATGTGTGTGTGTGTGTGTGTGTGTGTGTGTGTGTGTGTGTGTGTGTGTGTGTGTGTGTGTGTGTGTGGAACGAATGCACGGCCCCAATTTTCGACAGATTTGCACCAAAATTACATGCACATGCTCCAAGTTAGCGGGGAAGGCCAAGACCGACTTTGCATTTCCCAACTCCCATCGATAGTGGAAATAATCGATTTTTCATGCTTCTACGTCAGTTTTCATGTAGTTTGCAGCCATTTTCTACTGGCCAGAGTGAGAGCCTATAGCTGGCTGCCACGAATAGGCAGAAAGATTCTATTGGCCAGCGTGAGAGCCAACAGCTGACTGACACGAATGTTAACTAGCACGCTAGCACAAGTGGGAAAAATTTAAATCTGCATGACACTTTACTCCAATTGGCTCATTCGCTTGCTTAAACTCAACGTTGATTCTGATTCCACAGAACTGGGTTGGGTGTGAAAAAGTATTTGTTGTTAACATTTTTTTTCATTCGGTTTTTCCAGTTACGAGTCCTTTTTTAAAGCTGATCGTTTTGTGTTCATTTTTTTTAGAGCTTCGAGAAAATTCGCAGTGTGAGATAGGCAAGAAGTAAGGCATGTAGCAACATCAGCATGGCAAAGGGCACTCCTTTAAAGGGAAGGAAGGGCAAAAATATTTTAAGTCAAGTGATAGCGATTGCTGTACGATTTTTGAATCAAGCACGGGCAACGCCGGGCCATGTGGCTAGTTCTAAATATACGGTTCGCATAAGACAACGATGAGGTCACGGTAACAAATTGCTTGGCATAGAATTTTAGACACATGTATATGAAAACAAGATTGTGAAAGGGACGAATAAAAGGAAACTCTAGCCTGTTCAAGTCCCCAACAGAGACAAGGTACAGTTTTAGAATACCTTTACTGTTCTTTTCTAGAACTCATCGGAAATTATTCCTCACTAGTTAAAACTAAACAACAACTGACTACTGTTCCCAAGGACCCTTAAGATCTCTTAAAGGCTGGTTGATTCATAAGTATATTCTTCCTGTCAAAGGGAGAAAATTGCCTTTTGAATTGACACTCACAGGACCCATGACCAGCTTACGCGGAATATTCTAATTAGGGAAAAGCAAAGAAAGTTAACTGAGCTTCTTCTGACCGATCCCTGTGATCAGGTCTGGTAGTAAAAATGTCTCGCACTCCCCAGCCCTCGAATCTATGATACGCCCACCACCATCACCACAACTTCTCTGTTACATCTTAATTTTCATAAGGTAGTATTTTTATAAAATACAAAGTTTATTGTCACCTAATTATATACAATAATGGATCATATGCAATTTTGGTGAGCAATTCAACTAAGAAAAATTTAAAATAAATACAATTTATTTAAATACAAATTTGAGTTATATTCCATCTCAAATAAATCATCATTTTTTTGCGGCAATTTTTAACATCAACTTGAGATTTTTCTTGTTAAAAATTTGAATAATTTTAACGCATTCAACATTATGGATAAAAATAGTGAATTTTATATAGTGTTTTTTTTCGGGGTTTAGCATAAGCAAAACAAATTCACAGATTTGGACGAAGAAAAGATGACAAAATGATGTCAAAATCTACAAAAAATATTTATCCTTTGTCAGTTATGACTAGTTTAATTTGTAATTGTTGAAACTTGAATAAAAGCATGGAATAATAATAATACAACACAAAATGTACTTAAACAAAATGTATTGACACAAGAACGTGTACACAATATTTACAGATAGTTTGGTATATTCTTGGAAAGACCGTTCCTGTAGAATGGGTTGACTTAGTCGCAGTCGGGCAGAGTCTCTGGATTGGATCTCTTCTTCCTCCCTCTTCCCGGTACCAACCATATTTATATGGTCGGTACTCCACTATGTAAAATTAGGTGGATCGTACCACAACAGTAATGTATATAAATTAGAAAAAAAAAACAAATGTTAGCACTGCCCGGGGATCCCAATCAATCTTGAAACCCCTGCCGGTGAGTGTTTTGGTGTTGGTACACACTGTGATTTCCTGTTCTAAGCTAAACTGAGTTTTTATTTTGTCTTTCCAGTTTTCCGGACGTCTACACGAAGACATATTCGGGGTCAAGATGCTCAGCCCATAATCAGTTTGATCCAAATGATTATTTGCACTGAATTGCTTTCCTGTACAGCTGCATAGGATTTCATCGTATCAAAGCAAATAACGGTTGCTTTTAAAAACACCGACTTTACTTGAAACTAGCTGTCCATGTAACATTTGATATCACGGGTAGGATATATTAAAAATGTATCAAAATTTTTATGCACTCTAATTATTATATATTGTCATATTGAATAGTGACATCGTATATTTATTTATAGGAGAGGCAAGTAAAACCTTCAAAAATTTTCAGCCCGACTAACATCCGAAATTTAAAAAAAGGAATAAACAATTTTTTGAAGGACTTTTTGGTTGGGCTGAGAATTTTTCAGCTCACATTTCCCCGTAGATATAGAAGTACATCTAGTCTTAAATACAGCCATATACTGTATCTAAACGTTTATTGATATTAAAATGATAGTAAAAACTATGCTTATAAAAGAGTTCTTTTTATTGTTACGAAGGTCGGTCAAAAATAATGACTACTCTTCTGTAGCTAAAACGCTTTTTTTCTTCTTTTTCTTTTAATTATTTCACTCCAAGCAAGGCAGCAATACCACTATTGCACAGAGGTTACAGGGAATGCAAGTGAGAGAAAAGACTGAGTATAGGAAGGATTGAGGAAATGATAAAAATATGAACGGGATTCAAGAAGACAGAAGATGCATTTAAATGTTTGAAGATTGTCGTTATCAGGGAAGCAAGTAAACGGAAGGGAGTTCCACAAGCCGGAAGTGCGAGAAAAGAAAATGTTAGAGTAGAAGTGGCGGTTGCATTTAACTATTTCAACAGTAAAAGGGTGGGACCTAGATGCCAATCTATTATCACGCTTAAATTCATGGAGTCAGGACACCATGGAAAAAAGCACGTCAGAGCAGTTGCCATGAAAATATTTGTAGAAAAGACAGAAGAAAGCAGTTGCCATAAACTGTGCCTCTTACTCTGTAAACCTCTACCTCGAGTCCCTCTCAGGCCTTGTACCGGGTGAACACCACTGTAAAAAAAAAAAAAAAAGCTACTGTCAGATCTTTCTCGGATTGACATCAACTTTACCGAGGCATCTGGTAATGTGCTCAGATCAAGTGCAGCTTTTCCATAAACATACACTAATCTCATGTGAATGTTTGTAACACTCTTTCTTTCTTTCCCAAAAACAGAAATTCTATGACAGGTCTTTGTTATTTTTGTTTTCTCTTTTCTTTTTTTTTTTTTTTTTTTCGTATCTTTAGAGGAGCAGCCATTTTGAAAGAGATTTATGGGAAGGAAAAGAAAACGTAACACCCTATATATTTTGCCTGGGCTTCTAAACACTTTATGGTTTATAGATGAAAAGAAAAAAAAATGAAAGAATTTTGACTACCGGATATACTCGTGTATGAATCTACTTCATATATAGTGCGACCCCTTAATTGTTTTATAAAAAGTATAGCTCGTGTATAATACGACCCCAGCTTCTAAGCAACACTAGTAGATCCACCGTAGTCAGATATTGTAGTACCAGACATATTTTATAGAAAATAAATGTTGGTCATTCTTTTTTGTACAAAGCTATACCAAAATGGTTGGGAAAAGCCTTACTGTAAAGTATCATTTTTTTTAATCGTATCATCCAATACAAGGCAATAAAGCCACTAGGACACAAAGGGTTACTGAGGGTGAAAGAATAAGATAAAAAAAGCATTATTAAGGAACGATAACAATAGAAAAGTAATGAGGAAGTCAGTAGATAACGATTGACTTTGCATTTAAATTTTTGAAGATCAAAGTTGACTGGGAAGCATGAAACCGTAAGAGAGTTCCACAAATGAAAAATGCGATAGAAGAAAACGTTAGCATAGAACTTACGGTCACATCTCGCCATTTCCACTGTAAAATGATGAGACCTAGCTGCCAATCTAGTACTTTCCTTAAGTTTAGGTACCATATCGAAGAGTTCCACCGAACAATTACCATGGAAGTACTTATAGAAAAGGCAAAGGGAAGCTACATTACGTCGGCGGAAAAGTGACTGAAGCCGAGAGGCTAGGTTTAGGACTAATAATATTTCTGATTCTTTGAATTTTGTCAAGAATATCTAAATATACAGCAAGAACACTGGACTATATGTGGCAGCAATATTACGAAGGTAGCTCCTTTATTCTGGGCCTCCCACCTACGTATCCTAAGTCTCTTCCTTTTTGTAGTTACATGAAGAGTAAACCCACATCTACTATGGATGTCACTTAAAATCAAAAATACTTTAGGTAAATGAAGAATTACGAGCTTTTTTTTCTTATCTCAAATTTCCATTCATCTTCGAAAGTAGTGGTTAGCAAAATTGTCTCGCTAGAACACTTATGACCGAATAGTCAGTCCTCATTGGGTACCCCGTACTTTCGGCCTTGTGCCACATCTAAGCTTTTAGAAAATCACAACATTGGTTTCGTAAGTTAGTGTCTTTCAATGACAGCCTTTTTGTCAGGATTATCGGTACATAGTGCAGTACCCGTACATAATGCGAACGGAGCTTACCTGTACCCTTGTTAAGTCGATTTTCTAAGCGTAGATTAGATGTGGCACAAGGCCGAAAGTATGGGGCACCCAGTGAGAATCGAACTCACTAATCAATTGTAACTGTTCTAGTGAGGCAAGCTTGTGAACCATTACACCACGTCCAAAGTGCCCTGAGGTGATTTTCTAAGCGTAGCTCAGATGTGGCACAAGGCCGTAAGTTTGGGGGGCACCCAGTGAGGATTGAACTCACTTTTTATTCGGAATTAATCAAGCGAGATAAGCTTGCTAACCATTATGCTACGTTGAAGTTCCCTACTGTGCCCAGATCAAGACTAGCCAAATATACAATGAGAATGTAGGCTTAGGAATTTTACCCCCCCACACCAGAAAGAATTACTTGTGTATAGTGCAACCGATCATCGAAAATGCATGATATTTAAACTCTTCGAAAAATGACCTGTGTATAATGCGAACCCCTACCTTTTGTGTGAAAAACGCGCATTATGCTCGTGTATATATGGTAATCAAAATGCTGACATTCCACATTAATTCGAACGAAAGTTTAGCAAGGACAGAAAAAGTGATAGCAGATTGTGGACTTGAGAAACTTGATTCCTCCCAACCCCACAAAAAAACACTTTTATCTCTTTGGACAAATGAATACCGAATGTTTTTAAAATAGTAGGAGTATTTTGTATGTTAAATAATAAAACTTATTTTTTTGGAAAAATGAATGAAAATTTATTGAACTAATCGACGCACCCTAGTAAAACCAACTGGACTTAGTACCCACTTACCTGTTTGAACTTCCCCGCAAAATTTGGTTTCGATTGGTCAATGTTTGGCTATTTTAGAGGGTGTGACGGACGATCAGATGAATGGACAAACGGAAGTCACAGAATTTTATGGATTGCAACTGAATTTTAACACCCCAGAAAAATTTACCTGTGTGTAGTGCAACCGGTCACCGAAAGTGGATGATATTGAACCTGTTCAAAAAAATTACATGTGTATAGTGCGAACCCCTGCTTTTTGCGTGAAAAACGCGCATTATACTCGGGTATATACAGTAAGACTCAGTAAAATAAATTAGAACAGGCAATACCTTTTGACCGACCACCCATTTTTTGTGTGCTTTACTCATGATGATATGATGTTTCCATGCACTTGACATTGAAGGTAAGTCATATTCGTCCATATACAGCGAGGATAGTGGCTATTTTTTTCCAGTATTATCAACGCTGGATTGTATATATGTAAGCATCACTTGACGTCTGGAGTGAATTTGACTCCCAATAGGCATTCAGTGCAAAGAAGACACATGAGATATGTTGGAGAATATTTCTCTCGCTTGTATTCCGATAAAAAATTAAAATCATGGATATTATGACCAGGTTATCTCTTCGAAGATCTCTACACGGACTCCACACTTCCGATTCTGGTTTTGGAACCATGTTTAAGGAGATTACCCAGAGCTTTTTGGTGGTCACTCTATAGCCTAAATGTGTGATGTGAATTCAGCTTTCGCTGTCACATATATTACAGGATGTAATCGTCAGGTAGTAGAATGTGTTGTTTGCCTGGCTGATTATATGTGGTGTTTTGCTGAATGTCGTATAAGGTTTGTTTATTGTAATAGTCTCGTAATATCTCTATACGTTTTGCATATACAAGGTGTGATGCGTAAATTGTCGCCATTTTATACTTTTAATTTCGCGCATGCGCGTTGTTTGTTTTTGATTTTGTCGACAGAACAGTAAAGTTGAGTCAGTTGAGTACCGTCCGTGAGAAAAAAAAAACTCCGCCCAAAATTTAGAAACAGCCTGCTGTTCTGATTGGAATTCGCGCCTGAATGACTAATAAGAACAACATTTCAGAGTGTTTGGGTGCCAATCTGAGGACAATGCAGAGGATTCGAGTCCAATGTTGATTACGAATGCGTTTGGAGTGATCACTAGTGATGGCGACGTTATGCCTCCATTCATCTTCCCACAGAGCCTCGGACTCAACACAGTGCCTTGGGGAGGTAGTGCTACCTTGATTCAAGAGGGTGGCTCCTGGAAGACCCCGTGTCTGGCAACATGACTTTGTACCAGGCCACACAAGCAGACAATTTCTGCGACCAAACCACCCTTTACATCTGGCCACCTAACTCCCCAGACTGCAACCAATTATGTGTGGGATACAGGTGAGCGAGAGAGGCCAAGAAAACTCCTTACAATTTAAAAAAAAATGTAAACACTTCTTGTAAAAATTCATAATTCATTGAAAAACATTTTTCTTAAAAAAATTAGTGTCTATAATATATCTTATTCATAAAAGCAATTAAAATTTCTTCTAATCAAATATTGCCTTAATTTTATTGCATTTTTTATTTTACAATTCAGAATAGATTTTTAGTAGCTGGGACCTTGTTTTACGAAAAAATTGGTGATTTAGATTTTCTAAGGAGTTCTGCTAATAAATAACATTAAGCCTCACAAAAATGAA